CACGAATTGATTTATCTATAATCACGATAAATAAATCAATTAAATTAATTGATAAAAAAAGAAAGATTTATCATGAATCGATTTATCTATCATCACAATAAATAAATCAATAGAATATAAATATATATAAAGAAATATTTAGTTTTTAAATTATTCTTTTCATTATTTAAGTTCTACTGGTATTATATATTCTTTTTGGAATGGTATGTTACTGGACAAAAGTTTGGAATCGGGAAATGATCAGCAATGTAGGTCACGACTTTTAATTGACATCTCTTTAAATAAATTACGATAAAAAATATATCATTTTATTCAGCAAAAGTAGGACTATCATATATACATTTTAATATCGGGTTGGATACCCATTTGCATTAATTATAGCTTGCACTCTCCTCGGCATACTTTCAACCAAATTTCCGGTCCGATTTCATTCCATTTCTCCACGAGTGCATCCATCAATTCTTCCGGATTTTCAGGATATGTTGGTCATGTACGAATTCGTCTTTCCAAAACATCCCATAAATGCTCAATTGGATTTAGATCAGGACTCTTTATTTATGTTGATCACCACCGATTCCAAACATTTGTACAATTTTTAACTTCATGATCAGCGCTCCAACATCGTAAACATCTATAATTACAACTGAAACTACAACTTTCGAAAATAAATCCCTTCAAAAATTAATTATTTTTTTTTATTAAAATAAATTTAAATATTACATTTATACCCGCACAAGACATGGATCTCTATAGTTCTAAAAGATGTATATCAATTGGATTTTTCCGAAAGTAAGACCCCCTGGGCAGTATACAAGCTTTTTCGTAGGTTTTGTGTATGTTGAGTATCTATTAAAAGTTTGAGACTTTCGGTAATATCTTTGACTTTTTGATAGATTTTCTAATATTATCATTTGTTTTTGAATGATTGTTAATGTTTATTCATGCATGAATATTAATTTTTGAAGTGATTCATCTTCGAAGCTTAGTCGTAGTTGCAGTTATAGATTTCTAATGTTATCATTTGTTTTTGAATGGTTGTTAATGATTCATCTTCGAATGTTTAGTTGTAGTTCAGTTAGATTTTCTAATGTTATCATTTGTTTTTGAATGAATATTAGATTAAACATTATGCAATCACCATAGGCGGGTTATATAATTTAATAGATACTCAACATACACAAAACCTACGAAAAAGCTTGTATACTGCCCAGGGGGTCTTACTTTCGGAAAAATCCAATTGATATACATCTATTTGAGAAACGCGTCATTTAAAAAATTTGTTTTGGATAAACAATATAAATAAGCGCGTAACTATAATAAACAGGTATATAACGCGCGTTAATAGTATGGGGATCGGTTAAAGCGTAGTCCATCATGTGATCCATGTCCAATAGAGGTGTTTGATCAACCCGGCAAAACAAGTCGACACAAATGAATATTTACTCGAAAACCAATGCCTAAACCTGTCTTGGAATATTAGTTAAAATTGTCGGATTGCAATTTTACATATAATATTGTCCGCGTTACCCTTACCCAGACCTTATAAAAAATCATTAAAAGTAAACTCTGAAAATTTAAGGGGATTGATCACATGATCGACTACGTGGTGCGGGAGGGATATCTATCAGGAACCTGTGACTCATTCAGCTAGGGGTATAATTTATTACACAATACTGTATCAATAACAGTATATCAGTTTAGTAAAATATTCCATCAGATACATATATCCTGGGCCTACATTAACTTACTTAACGCCCGGTTCAAGCTCAATGATGCATCAATTATCAAGTAAAAGGCGTGCTGCATCACCATCATCCATAATATTGTCCACTAAAATCACACAGTTTCAACCAATATTATCTGCTCCAAAAATAATAGGTAGAAATTAAACGGGACTGAACGCTGGGAAACAATCCTACACACATGGCAACCGTTTCTTGATCCCTCTCAATTGATAAAAACTGTCTCGGTGCATGTATTTTCCCCATTTGATGTGGATCATGAAGCCAAGAGGTGGAAGGATGATGTGGCCAGTGGAGATTGAAGAGGTTGAAGAATCATATAATCTATTTGTTTTTCATTATTAAACATTCTAATAATGAGACACTTATATGCGTCATACTTTGGCTTGATTTTTTTGAAATCAAAATCCCAATAACATACCCAATTTTACTCGAACCTTATTTAAATGCTAAAATATCTTTGCATGTTAGAGTGAGTAGACACATAACCTAAACTTTTTCAGCTTCGTCAAAAGATTTGCATTACAATAAACTATTTATTTTTCCATATGACCACATGCACAAAGTAAAAATTGAATATTTTGCTTCACAGAAATTACCCGCAAACATTAGTGATGAAAGGGTCATTGTTTCCAACGCCCCATCCCACCAGAACGTCAGATAACTGTGCAGATCACCTGTGCCGTAAGGATTAGCGAACAGCCTTTGAGCATCAGAAAACCGAGCAGGTCATCACTTGCTCCTGTGGCTCGGCGGAATGCAATGAAAAGATATCAAGACATCGTTGACTCCAAACACAAGAAAAATCCTTGGTAGATATACAGGTAACAAACTTTTTATCAGAAATGTTGATGAGAATAATGGTGTGACAGGGACCTGTTCAGTTCTTTGTCATTCAAGGCTGTTTGCTTGTAATACGTTCCGAAGTTGAGGTAAGGTCCGAACCAGTTAATGGTCTGTGACCGAAGACTATATACCTCCTTACTCTCTTATAGTCACATCTCCTATTTATGTTAGAACCAGTTAGAAAGCATCCTCTATTCACATGATATAATTTTTTATAAGCACATTTTTTTTTGGTCCCGAGGGATGTGATGACGGGAGGGGATAACTGTAGATCAGTCTTTTAAAGAACGATCCAACCCTATTTCCTAGGTATTTTAGTCTTGTTTAAATAAATTCGAGAATTTAGATTAAAGACAAGTACAACGCAAAAAGATATCCATAGTAAATAACCAGCCAGCTATGTTTGTTGGTTGGTCGAGTGAATAATAAATTTGATTTAATTGATAAATTAATTATTATAATTATATATAAAATATAACAATAAAATGATTTTTTCCCGAAATAATTTTTTCGAGACGAAATGATTGTTCGGATAATAATCAATATATATAAATAGCTTGGATAAGTAAATAGTTTTTTTGATAATCTGAGCACGCATAAAATATTAAGATGATGCGCACTCTTATCTTTTTAATGTCAATTTTTGAGAAAAAATAAAGTATGATGTGTGGATATATGTGAATGTTTGTTTAAAAACCACATATATATGTGTAAATATATATATATATATATATAATTGATATTGATACTTGCTAAGTAATAATAGAAAAGAACACAAAAAATTTAAGTGATTTGATTATGTACAGCCGTTTTTTTGAAAATACTACTTAAAAAAAAAGAAAACCAAAAAATCAACAACAAAAAAAACAAAACAAAAAAAACCAAAATAAAATAAAAGATGAAGGGAGGAAGAAGGGATCCAAGAAAGACAAGAGAAAAAAAGGAAAAGTTTTTTTGTGTTTTTATGTTGCTTTTTATGTAGGTAAAAAAATGTTTGTCCAACTTTTTGTGTTTTTTTTTGTGCAAGATTTTTTTGTTTTGTGTGTGCGAGAGAGGCACCGCAACGAGAGACGATGCTCATACCGCGCAACAACTACAACGAATATGGAAATTTTTTCTCAATTTTTTTTGCAATGGTTTTTTAGCCTTTTTCTCCTATTTTTTAATCATATAAAAATACTTGAGTAATATGTAAAGTGATAATAATAAATCTCTCTCGAACGTAAAAAAATAGAAATATAAAGATTAGTAGTAAAAAAAAAACAGCCATGCAGATGATCCTAATTTTTACTAATGACTAATAGCTAAATATTTTCTTTCATCTTCTAATATAAAAACGAAAAAAAGAACAGGTCAGGTTTGTTTATGCTACTCTTGTGGGACTAGAGAAAAATAAAGAGAGCAAGAAAGAAAATATGTTATAATAAAAAGTGTAATTAATTCACTATAATCTTCGAATATATCCTAATTAATACGTTAAAAGATTATGTATTATAAAAAGAAAAAAAGAAAAAAAAGAAACAAAAAACCCAGGAAAAACAACAGAGAAAAAACAAAGAAAAAAAGACAAGTGCGACTATGAATTGTGAGAAGATTGTGGCTTGATTGAAGTGTATAGAGGTAGTTATAAAGAAGAGAATATGCGTGTTGTTGTTGAGGATGTTGATCAATACGGATATAATGGTTGGTGGGTGGTTGTGTGAGTGTGGAAAATGAATCTTTGACCATCTTTTATCGTCTATCCAGTAGTCGACTCGCATTTATTAATTTGTTGTGTGGGGGAAGGGTGTGTGCGATGTTTATGATGTGAAATGTGTGTGTGTTATATATAGATGAATGAATCAACCAATATCAATGAGAAAAAAAGCAAGTGTTTTTTTTTTAAAGAAGCAGAGAACAAAAAAAAATAATAAGAAAGAGGTGGGTGATAATAATTACGATAGAAAATCCCAAAGCCAACCCGAAAAAAGCATGGATATTATTATTAGTAAGTAGTAGTATTATTGTTATTATTATTATATTATGATAATAATGATTAAATTATGAGAGAATAAATGAAAATAATGTTAAAATTATAACTTCCAACTTCCCCCCTCTTTTATCATTATGAAATAACTATTAAGATTATGAGATTACTATAATTGTTTATATCGATGGAACAGAATTTGGGCACCTTTTTTTCCAACTTTTCACTTTCTTCTTTTAATGTACGTCAAAATCACATGCTTTGATGTTTGTTCGCTTTGTACGTGTAGTTGTTGTGATTCGTGCGAATTGCAAATACAACACTTCTTCTGTCTTTTGATATACATTTACGTCGGCTGTCTGATTCTCTACCGTTTTTTTTTCTTTTGTGAATTGTTCTTTTTATATTGAAAAAAAAATAAATTCAGCTTGCTTTCTCTTCTATATTTACGCGTTCGATGACGGCTTTCTTGAAGGTAATGGACGTACAAGTGAAGTTCTCTGTTTACCAGCAGCATTAGAGTCATTACTGCTGCTGCCATTTTGAGTAGTATTTGCGAGCTTCACAGAATTGTCATCACCTTTGCGGATTCTCTCGACGATGGTCGCTAAATTACTATTGGGCTTTTTTAGAGTGCTGGCTTTTGATGCGACAGTTCTCTTGACACGTTCGCTATCACTATCACTGGACACGGCATTATCAGTCAACTTTTTTTTGCTATTTGTCAACGCAGATGATGGTGTCGCCATCGACGTAGCACGTCTTTGTGCTGGCGTTAAAATACGATTCTTGCGATCTGATGCCACTCCGCTTAACATATTGGTCAATACAACCATATCACGTTTACGCTGAGTCACTGCGGAACGATTAATTGGGCTAACTTCTTTTTTGGGTGCCTTTTTCAATACGTCAACTGTACTCGTAGTTGGCTTGATTGGAGGTCCTCGAGGCTTGACTTGAGGCTTGACGGCAAGTTTAGTTAATGCTGCCTTCTTCTTAAATGCGCTTTCTCCATCATTAGTAGCAGATGAAAGTGATGTAGAGGATTTTGTTCTTGATAATGAAGTTGATGTTGATAACCTTGAACTGACAGTGACTGAAGATTTCTTCGAGGCATCCGAAAGCCGCCTCGAAGTGATGCTAGTGCTAGTCACACTTCGAGATCTTAATGGACTTTCAAATCCACCGAGACTTGCTGCTTTACGAACACGACGACCGGTGACTTTTGCTTCATCGCTGCTACTTTCACCTCCACTCAAACTATACATGGACGAGACTCTCGATCGGACAGACTTTGCGGTTGATCTGATGGAGGCTGCAGGTGCACTCCCCGGAGCTGGAGTAGGAATACGAGACTTTAAAATGGTCAACTCTTTCTCTTTTTCCTCCATTTTCTCTTTGAGCTGCGTTACTTCTTCCTTTAAGTCACGAGTAATCTTGGCTAATCGTTGAATCTTAATATCTTTTTCGGACACGGCGGTCTTATTATCGTCCATTTGTTTCTTGAGATTGGAATACTCCTCTTCAAGCTGAGAAATTTTCTTTTCGTAATCTCGGCATTGCTCGATTTTGGTGTTTAATACCTTTTGAAGAGCGTTAAATCGCACTTCATTTTTATTGTTCTTTGAATCCTTAACACCTCCGACAGCGAGTTGATTTTTGGCAGCAGCTGCGGCAGCCTGTTGTTGAAGACTTTCAATGTGCTGATCGAGCTGCAGGATTTTTTGATCTTTTTCGGATAAGGCGTCCAAGAGACCTTGAAAATTTGAACGGATATGATGATTTTCATTGAAAAGTCCACGATTTTCTGCAGATTGAGCGTTCAGTACACGTTGTAATTCTACAATTTCTTGGCGAAGTGTATTGATTGTTTTTTCCTGTGCACGTAATTTTTCATCACTATCCTCTACCGATCGTGATGACTCACGATACTTGTACTCCAGGTCAGCGAGTACTCGTTCTTTTTCGGTCAATTGTTGCCTTAATTGAGCGCTTCTTTTCTCAGCCTCCTCTGCCTTTGTTCGTAATGGGACTAATTGTGAATTTTGTTCTTTTAATTTTTCCATCAGCTTTGCTTCTTCAGCCAACTTAGAGGCAAGCGCTTCAATCTCGTCATCTTTTTCCTTTAGATCTGCATCGATATTTTCAACCTGTTGGGTCAAGTTATCGATTATATAGTCTTTTTGCCGCAATTGTCTGAGCAAATCATGTGGAGCATGTTTCTCCCTCAGTTCTGCGATCACCTGTTGAGAAGTATCTAATCGTATATTTAAAGATTCGATTAAAGCGTCCTTTTCATGAAGTTCAGCTTCTCGCTGACGAAGTGTCTCTAATTGTAATGAAAGTCCATCGAGAGTTGCCTGTTTATCTTTCCACTCAGCCTCCAGTGTCTGATATCGTGCGAGTTGATTTGATATTGCCTCCAACTTCTTTTCTTTTTCTTTTAAGTCACTAACTTGTCGTGCGGTGACCGTGATCCGCTTATTTAGTTCTGTGATTGCTTTATTCTTGGCACGTAGCTCGGCTTCCATTTGACGTATTGTCTCGGTGGTCTGAGCATCCGGACCTTGATTTTGCATCATTTCACTCTCGCGTTGTTGATTAGTCACCAGTTCGCTGATTACTTTTCGTGAAGTCTCGAGTTCTCTCTCGAGACGATCAATTTCTGCGACTTTTCGTCGACTATCTTTGTCCAATTCTTCTATCAATTTTTCTTTGCCCAATAATTGTTCTCTGTACTTATTTTCCATGTTCGTTAGCTGGTTACTAAGCGATAATATTTCATACTCGATATCTTTGTTAGAAGACGCAACATTTTCCTCATCATACTCTTCATCATCATAATCGTCGGAATCATCCTCACTATAGTATTCCACATCATCATTATCACTGGAAATACCATTATTCCTCATGCCGATGTGGGCGTTTTCACCTCGAACCTCATCAATTGTCTTATCGAGTTTCCTATTGTTCTCTCGGACAAGTGACACAGTGGTAGCCAACACTTCCGCCACATCAATGTACGAACTGGATGACGAGGTTTGTTGACGTGGAGAGGTGGGTCTACTAGAATGATTAAAGGAGACACTTCTTTTTAAATGTTTTTTAGAAGTTGACACTTCTTGATGCGCCGATTGATGATGATGATGCAGTATAGGTTGTTTTTCATCGAGATATTTGGTAGCGTTGGTGGGATTTTGAAAGAGGGATAGATATGAGGTGTCTTTTGAAGGGGTGGTGGCAAGTTGTGCCAGCATTGCCGCCGCATCTTCAATCTGTTCGCGCGAGAGAAAATTGGTTTGACTGTTAATGTCGTTTAGTGTCGCCTCGACGTCTCCTCCCTTTTGTGGCGAGGAAGGCGCGAACGACAAATTGTCGGATGTTAGGTATGGGTGATTTGGATTTATGTGATTACCCCCACGATGGCCATTTCGCGTAGGTGCTGTCGACATGTTTCTGATTTTACTTTGTGTATTACCGGATGTGGATTGCGGTCGAGACGAGAATGCACCCAATATGGATTTATCTGTGTTTTATTTATTCGTGTTTTTTGATATCGTTCGAGTGAAGGTGGGAAAGAGAAGGAGAATGGTTAACAAATATTCATGCATTCATATTCCGGTTTCTCTTGTGTTAGTAAATTCTTCTCGTTCTTTTTTCCCTTTCCAACGCCAAAAGGGAAAAATAAAGTTTAAAAATAAGGTTTTTTTAAAAAAAAATTATTTAAAAAAAATATTTATCCGCAAACCACAGCCACACGGAATGGTCTGCCTACTTTAAGGGGAAAACATTGAAAAAGGACAATAGATCGACGTATTTGGATTATGTGTGCTTTTTTACCATATATATGCTGTAAATACACACACGTCACAAAAACAAAGGGTCGGGTATGTTGGTTCAACTTCTAAAGGGGGAAATTTCTCTTGCACATATAACGTTTCGTTCTTAAAATTCAGTTTCTACCAAACTACTCCAACTTTTTCTTCTTTTTTTTTTTAAACATCTTCCCTGACATTCTGATTCTTTTCTTCAAAGTAAAATTTAGTTTGTTATTCTTGTGGGAGTAGTTGGGAAACGGTGAATGCACCCAATTGACTCCGTTTGTGTGCATAGCAGAATGAATAATTTATATGTGCAAGAAAAGTATTTTTACGACCATGAAATGATATAATAAAGGGGGAAAAGCTCGCGACCAAGGAATTTTCTTTCTTGGGTTGGAAGATTAAAACTCGGGAATTCTCGAACCAAATTCGTTCGTTAAAGCGTAGAAGAAAGTTCCGACACAAAAAAAAGGTTGAATAAAAAACTTACCCTCACAGCAACCTTCATCTCCTACTCCTGCTTCCCTGTTCGTAAACTCTGCTGGCCTTTGCATGTTGTCTTTATGACAAATGAGTTGTAAAGGATTCTATTGCAAATTGACAAAAAAGAAAGGAAGGTTAGGAAAAAAACTTTTTCATTCGAACATATATGAAAGGTGCGTATGGTTTGTGTGTGTGTGTGTGTGTGTGTGTATGTGTCTTTTGGTGTGTGGTTCATTTGAACCTTGGTTATGCAGAAATAAAAACTTTTATATACCCAAAAGTTTATGTCAGCCATTAGATTATTGGTTCTGTGCGTGTATGAAAGTATGTGGTTTGAGTTGTAGTTATAGCGGTTTGTTTGGTTAGTTAGTTGTTTTTGTTATTTGTTAGAATTTACATAAACTTCTTTAGTTTCAAAAAAACAAAAACGAACAATGAACCAAATAATAAGAAAGTTTTTTTTTAAGAATAATGAAAGTGACAAGCGAAAAAAAACTCAGTTTCTCGCTTGAATAATAAAAGGTAAAAGAAAGTGGTTTGTCGTAAAAAAAAAATAAAATAAAAGTTAAAGAAAGAGAGAAAAATGGTGAAAAAAGATAGACAAATTAAACGTGGAAAGATGAGATTTTAAAGAAAGTGGAGGGAGGGACACAAAGAAAAAAAAAGACCGAGCCTACCTGTATGCGCGTTATATTAATTAATATAATAATAATAGTATTATAATATAAAATATTATAATAATAGAAATAAAAATAAAACGTTTGAGTAAAATGGTTACTGCTATTTTACTATTACAATGTGAAGTTTGCTGTAGTTGTAGTTCTCGTTAATGGTTGATGGAAAGAGAAGAGAAAACAGAGCAGATAGTGAGTGGAAGATTGTGTATGTGCGTGTATAGAAGAGACTATTAAGAGAGTATAAAGAAGAAAAGATTTATACACGGAAAATAAAAAAGAGAAGAGAGAGAGAGAGAGAGAGAAAAGAGAGGATGGAAGAAAGAAATGTGAGAGAAGCGGTGCCTCGAAAGGGTGTTAGGTAGAAAGAAATGATGATATCCAAACACACAAGGTGAGTAGTTGCTTGTCAACGCGCGTTATTTGTTTGTTAACAGGCAAAACCCCCTCGGTTTGTCCTTCCTTTTTTCCCTATAATGATGCTTGGTGGTTTTTAAGTAGTGGTAGTAAATGTCGTGGTTGTAATAGTAAAATAGCAGCAACGGATGGTTGGTAATAATTGTTAGGAGTGGTTGGGTGGATGTTGTATTAGGGGATGGGGTATATGTGTGTGTTTGTGTCTATGCTGTATGCACGTTATGTTAACAATAATAATGAGAATCGCGTAGAAAATGTATGTGACGTCAGAAATTACAGATAGACACAAAGTAGGGTTTTGGGTATAGATTTTTTTTGTGTGTGTGTGTGTGTTGTCTTATCCTTTTGTCGAAAAAGAGGGCGCGGACTATGATAGATTTTTGATGTGACTGGATAGATTCACACCACCACACTCACTAATTGGGGTTATTATCAGTTATTAATGCTGTATTATTCGTGTGATTTGTGAAACCGGAAGCGGGGTTCATGCGGAATTACGGAGTTTTGAATATTATAGTAACAATTATTTGTGATGTTTAGGATTATATTATGTTGTGGTATGGTAAATGAATAGATGATTATGGATAAAATAAACGAAAATAAACGGAAATAAAGGTGTGCAGAATGAAGCTTTGTCAAAAATTAATAATATTAATATACTGCGAAGAGGAGTTTGATAATTAATAATTGTTTGGAAAAGGATTATTTTTCAAGAAGAATACCAATTTAAATGGTACGTGAGAAATGAAATTCGTAGCGTAATAAATAATATGATGATTACTCTGGTCAATAATAGTTAAATATGGAAACTATCGCCACCCACTACTACCACCACTAATAAATTCGGTTCAACAATGCGAAGACAAAAAATAATAGTGGCAGTAGTGGGATGTCGTAACAAGTATAGAATAATGGCAACAAAAATAGTAATAAGTCAATAGATAATAATAGCCAAAATAGTAAATAATATTCAAAAAAAATTATAAATTATGCTTAAATAATGATGTGGAAGTTGGATGGACAAACACGATGTAAAGTAATTAATTAATTAATTAATTAATTTATGAACAAAGTGAAAGAAAAATTTGGTGAGATTAATGGCGAATAGGAGAAGAAAGTGTACGTGTATTTAAAAGGGAATAAATAGTATGAAATGGCAAAAAGGGGCTACGTTAGTATTATCAGTAATAGAGGAAAAGTGCGATGGTAATTTAAGTAATTAAATAGTCATAATAAAAATAAATGAGATGAATCAAATAAATGAAAAATTTTGAAAGGAAAAATATATTAGAGTAATACATACACATATATGTCTATGTATATAAGAATGGACTATTCAAGAATATAAAATACATGCATAAATTAAAGATAAATAAATAAAAAAAAATGCCACTTACTTTTTTTTTTTGAACAAACACCACCACTCTTGCATACACGTACACACATACACATACACACACATACAATCACTCGGTCACATCAGTCACACATGAGATATATACTTGACAGAATAATATAAAAAAAAATATGGTTTACCTGTATTCTTTTGGGCAAATCCCGTAGTTTGACTGACTAATTTATTTTTGTGAAGAGTGTGAAATTTTGCGCGTCTCTGTGTCGTGGAGCTTTATGTCTGTGATGTCGCGCGTGAGATTATATTTGTGTTATGTATGTGGTTATTATGCCTGTTATTAGATTATGTACGTTTACTTTGTGTGTATAAATGTTAAAGTATGTATGTCAAAAAAATGTCTTTAAAGGATTAGGAATTAGGGTTATTGAATAATAATCGGTAAAACGTTATGTTTCGTTAAAAAAAATATGTAATGTAATGTTTTAAATTCTTTGTCAGAATTAAAGTTAATTGTATGTATGTAAATGTGGGGACCAAATAGAAAGTGGTAAAAGAATCGAGATTATTTATCTAAAAACTTTTTTTTCTTCGTTAATATTAATTATTTGCAATTTAATAATGGGGATATCGGTACATTAATATATTTTTAGAGTAAATGTATTACACCAAATATATATAGTTAATACCTTTCATTAATATTTATGTGTGTTATATGAAAAGAATAAAAAAAAGAGTATCCTCGTCGAGAGGATTTTGTTAATGTCCTGGGTAAAGTTAAAACGCTTGAAAGTGTTTTTAAAAGGACACGATTTCAGTCGTCGTTGATTCTAGAGTCTTTCTTTAAAAGATAAATATTTGGAAAGAAAGGAAGAAAGAAGAGAGAGTGAGAAACTCAAAGTGAGAGAAAATAGAAAAGGGGCGAATTTTATAATTTTTTGTCATTTTTATTTTTTTATTTATTTACCTTATTTTACATGTATTTGTGTTATATATATGTCGTGCTGTCTGTATGGAATAATGAATGATTCGAGTATAAGCCTATCGCTAATGTCTTGAACTACGTATTATATTTTTGAGCTATGTATTATATTTCGAGTGAATGAATGAATGAAAATGATTTCAAATCTGTTGTTATCGTTATGGTATGTTACTTTATTATTATTGTTTTTTTCCTGCGTAAAAGTAAGTTAATAATGACGATTATAGATAATATCATAGTCGCTATAATATCTGATATAATTATTCCAATTTATTTCTCAATGATTGGAGGAATTCTAATTTCTGTCACCATAATCATTTGAGTAATCTCATATATAATATATACACAATTTATATGTCCCAAAATGTGTTAACATACATATGGTTAGTCTTTGTGCAAAGTCACCCTTAATTTCATTTTCTCGGTTCATATGCATTTTTATTTGCGTGTATATGTGTTCCTCTACATATGTATAAGCGGAAAAAAGGTAATAAATACGCATGCATATGTATGGCAGTAGCCATCCTCATTTTATTTTATCCATATAAAATATCTTTATTTATTATACATTAGTGGTAAACGATATCAATATCACTTACCACCAAAAAAAATATTTAAGTTCCCCAACGACACCAACCGAACTCTGCTCAAAAAAATAAATAAATGGTTTTTTTATAAGAAAACTCGCAAAAAAATTTCCACCGAAATGGAAAATAATTGATTTCCTTTTTCGGGATCGATATTTTGCATGGGTTTTTTTTGGTTGACCAGTTGGTTACCCTTCTATCTGAACCGATTGGCAAAATTTCTATCTTATTGCGTGTGTATGACGAAAAGTGTTTACATGTTGTTCTTTGAAAATTTAGATACAGATGTTGATAGTCATCTTTTAGGTTAAAAAAAAATAAATATTGGGATGGAAAGTCGTAAATAAATAAACGATAATAGCATACGTACGGATGGAGAAGCGAGAAGGAAAAGTCTAAGTCTACTAATTAATTATCAATAATGACATCTGTCGGATAGAATCTACATCAACATTTTAATTAAAAAAAAAATTATAAGGTGATTATTTATTTCATGCTGTGGTGGTCAAACAACAAACAAATATTAGATATTTTTTCACGTTAAATGAACATCCATCCAAAAAGCGAACGCATATAGAATAAACAAAAAAAAAATAAAGCGTGAATATACGCTCATAATTTCATCGTCTTCAAAGACCCCTGTATTTATTCATCAATTTGAAAGATTGATACCGATAGGTATTCGTCAGGAGAAAAAAAAGGCTTGGCTTAAATTTTTTTCTCGTGCTCGTTCCTTTCTTCCAACTAATGATCGTTTAGAAAGTCGGCATGTTATTTCATTATCCCCTGCATTTTTTTACGTGAATATGCAATCAATGTAATGATGGAATGGATGGATGAAATCGTTTTGCTTGTGATATTAAATAAATATGTTTATTTGAGGCTCTACCCTTCCTGTTAACCGACTTTTTCTGTGATTTTTCCCTGCCACCGCATCATTATAAAAGACTAATAATTTTAATGATTTCTTAGATTGATTATCAAGGGGCTGCTGCTGTTGTTGTTTTTATTATTATTCCTGTTGCTGTTACTTTTCTCCCTTCTTAATCATATTCATTTTTACGCCTGATCCGGATTCAAGTCAATAGAATGATTATATATATATATAATTACTTAAAATATTCTCGGTCTCAATTTCTGTTTTGCTATAGGCGGGCTTTGAATACTAAATAATATACGACATACCGATGCGTTCTCTATTTGAAATATTTCAAGTCGTCAACGATATTGTAAAATCTTGATCCTACAATGCTATTGGTTAATTTTATCAACAATTTACGCCACAACATTTATGATCTTCTAAAAATCTAGAACAACAAACTTTAATTAATTCTATCACCTGCAATGGTATCCAATAAAGGAGACGAAGGTAGGAGTTGTCAGGGAAAAACTAGTTGGTCCATCTTTATGGAAGAGTCGAATAAAGAAAAACTTGTTTGCGAAAGATATTCTTAAATGCAAAAGATAAACTGGGAAGGGATAGAGGGCCAATTGGTTAAATGGAGAAGACTGTTAGTGTTTGAGGAGAAGATTCGCAAAAAAATAAGACGAAGGGGAAGGGAGAATAAGAATACCGGCATAGCAAGATGTTTATATGGGAGTTATACTCACAAGCATTGGGAGTGTAGAGCGCGTAACAAGTTGTAAAGATTTTACTTATCTTCTTGAGATATTTACGCCGTCTATTTACTGGGAGGATAAATGAGCTGGAGAATTATCACAGTGGAGAATACAAGCTGACTTGTATTTGAGTTTGAGGGGAACTTTCGGTATACTGGTTTCGACGTTGATTGTGCTTTGTTTCGGATTGTCCTCTTCTATCTACGTAAAAAGGAATTTCTGTGCACTTATTTATCCAACAATGGTTACTTCTCATATCGAATCATTTGCTGCTTTCAATTGTGCTTAGCTTCAACTTACATGTCCTGACGTAAAAAGGACATACGTCGAGACTTGGTAAGGAAGCACACATATTTTTTTTTCGTCTCTTAAATTTCTCAATTATTGGTTAGGATATACCAAGGAGATGAAAGGTCGTAATTATGAAGATGTAGAGAGATTATTGGAACAACTGTCCCATAGAGGCATCTTACTAAATACGATCACCGCTAATGGCCGGTAAAACATCACCCGCGCAACTTCTTGAGAAGTGACATGACGGGCGTGTACCGCTTCAACCGAACGAAGATATGTAATTCACGCCGCCCAGAATTTACAGAATAGTTATGTGAGAAAAGCTCAATTCTTTAACAACGTTTAATGTGCAACTTTTTATGCTCGCGGGAGCGCAGTTGTCATCATGTTCTTGTAACATTCATGATACGAAAGATTCTCCACACAACTAAAAAGATGATTGAATCATTAAAACCTGAAAAAGGTATACACTTCTACGCAAGCTTAATAGTAGTTGGTTGAATTAAGGTTCTTTTTATACTATACTTTGCGAATTTGGGAGTATCATACGTGTTTTTCATGTCTTGGTCCGTGGCTTTAGAATACATGAACTACCCACAGTCTCTCCGTGATGAGCAAAAGCTCTCTTCAGTTCTTTATCCGTCTTAGGAATTCCAAACAGCGGTCGCCTGAGTTTCTACTTCATTACTTTACCAATTTGTGAATGATGAAAATGTTTGATCTTTTTACTATGAAAAATTGCTTTGGCTAAATAAAACCCAAAATATTCATTATAACATTTTTATGTTGGTTAATGATCGATTAATTATTGCTATGATAACACTGCTTGCTTCTTTCTTAAATAATTAATTGTATCAATGTCAATTTGAATTTAAGGATTTTAATAAATGACACTTGAGGCAAATATGATACTTCAAATTAACTTTTTTATTGTTTCAACAATGTAACAAAATATAGAACGATATGTTTGCATCCATTATTATCAATTTGTTTATTATTCGAACATAAAGTAATATTAAATGTACAATAAATTACGAAACCCTTGAAACTGGACTAAAAGTGCAACACTTGCGTTTTTGGAGAACATTCTTTTATATCATTATTTTCGTAATTAAATTACAGTCCTATCGAATCGGCCAATTTTTAAATTACCGAAAAGGGAAGTTCAGATCAAAAAGAGTTTATGTAACATCAAGTTCATCGATATTATTTCTAGGTTTGATATTATCCGTTTTTTATATAATAAAGATTATGAAAAAGTTGCGCATTAACTCGTGAGAATAATATTATCTATTTCATACCGATAATCATGTCCAAACACACCATACCGATAAGTTCATGTATTTAACAAAGAGGTGTAATCATTTATTTTCATTTTAATCCTAGATGCACGAGAATAGCCAACAAGGAAATTATTTGACGTGTTTTAACGTGTCAAAGAATTTGAAGGTGGAATGTAAGATGTGGTTTTCAAGGATTTAGTTAATCCTTTTAGGGTTAAAATATGTTTTAGCGAGGGAAAAAGCATCGAGTTGAAGGCGTGTTGATAATAGCATGGGACACATGGCACAATTAAATAAACATAGCGGTGGAACGTTTATTTTCGATTTAGCGTCAAAAATTTTTTTATATTAGAAATTCCCAAGCTGGAGACCCCGCACAAAAATTTTTATAATAGCGCTACATAGCTTTTTTTTCTCACATCTATTTAGTTTTTTTTTTTTAACTTGAGCAGAGGAATTGGTGTTTTGACAAGGCTCGTGGGATCAGTATATGGTGGGAAGTTTGTATCGTTAGGAGTAAAGTAAAAAGAGATGGAAGTGATTGTGTGTGAATAATTGTTTGCTTATGGTGAGTGTATATATGGAAAGTAAGCAGGAAGATTCATTTGTATAAATGGAAAGTAGGAAAGGAGATTCATTTGTATAAATGGAACTGGTGTATAATGATCAAAAAGAAAAACGAACCTATGATATATTTATTAAATCATCAGTTTTTCGACATCTGTTCTGAATTCTATGAAAAAAAAATGTGATATTGACTAATCTAAAAATATGCATTCGTAATAATGACCTGCTTTTCTGCGCGCGAGATTACAGCCACGATATTTACAAGTGATCTTTTTTTTAGTATTGATCCGGTTTTGAAAATACTGTGCCTCGAAAACATTCAAAATTTTCTTGAATAGGATATGCTGATCCAGCTGATATGGAATTTTTACATGAAAAACGAAATCGCAAAGTCTAACATGTAAGTCCCGCATTCAACCCAAGACGACATTCACAGAATTGTGCTAAAAACAGCTAACAAATAGTTTTGAAAAATGTATAATGAACATTATCACTGCGGAGTACTCTTCCGAGGATTATCGAAAATCATTAAGCTCTTTTGAGGGATTACTACGGTTTCCCAAGATTGGATAATAGTGGCACGTAACGCAAAGTGGGAAGGGTCATGTTTAAGTGGGTATTATTTGTTTATCAATCATTCTGTATCTCAAGTCGATCTTCCATCAAACGATACCATTGATTTTCGCCATGTATTCGATAAATTTAATATATGAAGTAGGATCGTAAAAAAAGCAAATATTGTAATATATTGTCAAGGCTGAATGTTTTCCCTTATAATATCTAGGAAAAAGAAGTGATTGTAGAGAGGGTGTGACTATATAGGTGGTGATTATATAGAGGAACGTCATTTTAAGATTGACATCGAGGCATAATACGGTAGCAATCTTAGTCTTCAAAATCATCTTTTACCTAGATCAACATCTGAGTGTTGTAATTATTCCAACTACATCAGACATTCTATTTGGATGTAATCAAAAAAAAAGTATATATTTAATAGTGTATCGATATTATTATACTAAAAGCTATTTAATAGTGCTATTATCATTATTATTACTATGCTATGTAGACAATGTTATATATGTAATATAATTAGAATATATCTATTCACAAGAATTTTTTGTATAAAGATGAAGAGATGAAAGATAATGCTTTTCTAAATAATAAAAATCAACTATTTTACACTTGCATTAATCGAAAGAACTACTAATAATAAAGGGGGTTTGTTAATGAAAGGATTTTTAGGATTATCAATATTATAAATATGAATATATTTATATATGGATGTTTTAATACTAATGGACTAGATGGTGGATGGCTGTTGAAGGCTGGCTGATTTTTCATCATCGACGTCATCACTGATATTAGCAGCAACGCCAACACCTTCAATGTCTCCTGAATTACTGCCTGCACTTTTGTGTTCATCGCTTCCAACAACAGCTTCATTGTTGCTGCCGCTATTGTCTTCTTCCTTCATAGATTCATCATCGATGTTCTCGGTGACGATAACATCCTTCTCATCATTTGTCGTAGTAACTGTTATGGTTGGTGGTATTTGACTTTTCAATTCATCAGCTAGGAGAAGAATTTTTTCGGATACAGCAGCGAAACTTTCAAACTGGCTTGGCTGCTGTTGATCCGATGGTAACAGATATCCTTTTAGTTTCTCGAGACTTTCTATAAATGCCTGCCAGAGTGGATCTTCTGCTGACGGTGACACAAAGTCAGTGGGAGTCAAAGTGATATCCAACACCTGAAGCACCTATTATTACCAATAATTTTTATTATATTCGATGGAATATCGTTGACGAAAACATGATTCTATGAAAAGAAAACATCCTAATATTTACCGCAACTAGTTGTTCTAGAATTGATCCAACCGACTCCAAGTCATTAGTTTCTAGTTGTTCCTTCAAAATTTTTACATTGGTGGCCAGTTGCTGAATGTGTTTGGATATAATTGGTTGGATCGAATCGACTTTTTTGTTCTTTATCTAATCAAATCGCAAGAAATTATTTAATCATCATCATCATCGAAACAAGAAAGTTGCATTCAACAACTTACAAATTGCGTCAAAGATTTTAGCGATTTCAATTGTTGTGAAAGCTTGAGCAATAACGATTGATTAGAATTGAGAATATATTCCACTATCCTTGCAACAAAGATACTATGAAAAGCTTGCAATATTTGATCGTTTTCAGAAGTCTTGTCGAATAGATCAAGTAGTGTGTAAAGCGCGAACTCGCCTCGGAATTCCATCATTTCAATCGCAATTAACGAGCCTGTTTATTATATAGCATCAGAACGATCAATTTATTCTTGTTGCATAAAAATAAGATTGTTTGTGAATAATCATCAATAACTCACATAGTTGAACCACTTTATCGTATTCATGTAGTCTACATCCCGCATCAATAGCGTGTTTCACGACCGTCAAGTATGGCGAATACAATTCCTCCTGCAACGATTGGATTTCTAATGGTTGTAATTTATTCAAGAATGGCTTGTACACGTGTATCAAAGGGCCATTGGAGGAAGATTTATGCGTTCCCCCAGTTTTTAGGTCAGAGAGCAATTGATATTTGTTAAAGAGAGAATGGTTGCCGCCAAAGACTAATAACAGATCTAATAAAAAAAACATAAGAAATAAAATTCTTTATAAAATCCCATTCTTTGTTAAAAGATAGTTACCGCCTTCGATATGTGAAGCCTTTTTTTGCCATTCCGCGTGACTGGATATCATTGAATGTATTATATCACCAACGGCGTCAGACATGTATTCGATTTCCAATAAAACACTTAGTATTTCTAAATATGCATAAATATTAGCAAAAAAAATCAAGGTGCAAAAATATCACAGGAATAGATTTTTGGTTGCTCCTACTTGCCTGTTACGCGAATAAATATTTGATTTTCCGTGTTTGGATGCAAGTAACTCAATAGCGTGCGAATGAAGTTCTTTTGATTCCATGTTTTAAAGTGTTGTTCCACTAAATACACAAATGAATAATTGTCCATAATTCATATTAATTATTTTCCAAGAAAAAATATATATAATTAGCACCAATATTTCGATGATGGTTAATTTACATTCTTCACTTTGATGATGGGATGGAACAGTTGCGGCAACTTTTTTGAAATAGCAGAGTAACACATCCAAACATTGAAACAGGTTTTCGTCACTCGGGTTTTTATCTTTGACCGAATGGATATACTAAAAATATCAAAAACAATCAAATTTTTCGGTCGTAAATCTTGATACTTTGCAAGTTATTATTAAAAAGATTATTATTACCTGTGAGAAAAAGTCCAACCCGTAATTTTTGCAAAATATCAAAAAATCTTCAATCGTCTCTCGATAAAGGAAGGTGTGTAGTCTTTTTAATGGGAGAATAGTGATAATTTAATTGACCACATGAATAATTTAATAAATTAAGTAAAAATATTTTTTCATACCTCAAATAATAGGAAATTTTACGTGAAGAACCAGTTTGTCCGATATTACTTAAAACACTATCCCAACATTTCATCCTGAAATCGACCGACCTATCAGCACTAATTTTCAATAATTCTATAAGCTCATCTGTTTTCTGTTGTTGATTGTTGAAAAAAGCAGATGAATATTAATTAACTCAAAAATCAAATAATAAAGTAAATGATGTCCATCTTCTAATCAATATCCAACCCAAACATACATGATCATCGTAAAAATCACCCCATATCATATTGTTCATAGCCCAAGTGAAATTTTGAGCTTCCATCCAAAGGGTGTGATACTCAGACGATTGTTGACATGCCATCAAAATAATACCATAATACTTGGGTAACGTTGCTTGATTATATGTAATATTCTCTGCATTATGATTGATGCTAAACAAAAATATAAAAAACAAAAGTTCAGCAAAGAAAAATTATCGACCAAATCATAAATAAATCTAAATTTATAAATTCATTTTACCTTACGTAGTACAAATGCATCGCTTCAATTATGTTATTCGGGTTCTTTATATATAAAGCTACATTATCTGGACATCCACTGCATACTTTATGCCAGAAAATAATCATTTCCTATTATTTATTAAATAGTAATTTATTATTTTTTTTTTAGTTCATAAATCTTTTACTGATGCATACATCAAATACATAATTTTGTAAATTACCTTTTTGTCCATATCACAGTCAAGTCTTTGGTTATCGACATTCATAAAACAATTTATGAATTTATCAAAATAAGGCATAAACTGAAAATAAAAAAGATTAATGCAAGCTTTGAAATCACAAAGACCAAGATGAAAGAGAAATTAAACTCACCGCAAGCTTGTCTTCATTCGTAATGACACACTTCGTCAAGACCCTAAAATAACTACTTAATCTCCAACCGTATAATTCTATAACAATAAATTAACTCAAAGTTACATTCAAAAAGCGATCATAATAAAATCTATCAAAAAAAAATACAGACCTTTGCGGTGATACGTTGTTCTCCAGTAGCTATCACAACGGTCCAAATTCTTTAACAACACCTCGTATAATTTACGAATTGATTTCAAATAATTTTCTTCCTTCAAATAATTTTCTTCTTTCAAATGATTAAATATTAATATATCACATAAAGTTTCAGCATGTAGTCGTACGGCTTCGTAGGGATTTTCGAGAAGAAATTGGGGTAACCATTCTCCCATGTAAGCTAAGAGCAGATCCTGAACATATGTTCCAATATCGGACATGATTAAACATTCAATGAAACGAAGGCATTCAGAAGCAACGGCGGGTGTGTTTGGATGATTGCTTGACAGCTAAATAATAAAAAAATTTCGATAAAAATATAAACAATTGAAGAAATAAATAGTTACTGTATTTATACCTTCAATACATAAGTAATTGCAGTCTGAAATCTCAACATAAAATTCGAATCTTTAATCTGAGTCAACACATAAACTATTTCCAAATAAGCTCTGACGTGGTGATCGATCGGGTAGGAATCCGCCGCACGAAATAGCTGTTCCATTAACTGCTCGGTCAACGATTTATTGTTGGTAGCAAAATGTATAAAAATGTCACGCGAGGACGCCATATCGACATTATCCCGAATTTGCTTCATGAAGAAGATTAATTCATCGTCTGTATCGCTACGTTGAAGAATAATACTTAGATCTTCATCTCTTAATTTTAGACGAGCCTCATTCATTGTTGATATTTCGGTCGTTTGCTCGATGGTGCAGGCAGTTATCAAAATTGCTAAAGTGACTAATAGATTTCTGAATGGAGGAAGAGAGAATTTATCGCCCATTCTTCGTTTTCTTCCTTTTAATGGAGATATTTCGTCTAACAGGAATAACTTGACTAATTCTCCTATAAGACCGCAATTGATCATGTACGCTTTTTCAGGAATTCCAGAGTTTGCGATTTGTGATAGCAAAAAGAAATATTGATCGAAATTTCTCCAGTAATGAGAAGCATTGTGAAGCAGATTAAATAATGCCTCACAGAGCTCCACTATAAGGCTACCCATTTGAAGGGATTGAGTTATTTGTGAAGTAGAATCAACGCTCATTCTAGTATCGTGGTTTTCTTCAATCACATGATCTGTGGTAATAACCAATCCGTACGTGCTTGGATCTCCTTGACGAAGAACTCTCAACACGAATAATACCAAGTCGACGATATGCTCTCTGACTTCTTGCACATAGCAGGACATGAGAATCTGTTGGACATAATTGGGATTTTTTTCAATAAATCGCTTAATGAACCATCGGCATCCTCTCAAATGAGTTTGGAAAAGTGTTTTTAGGAAATCAATCCAATCTTTTAATTCTAAATTTTCTTTAGCACGACAATATGTTCCTAAAACAAATTCGCTTGCTAGCCGTATAGTGCGGAATGTCAGATCTTGTTCATTATTTCCAATGATAATGCGATTATCTGCGTCAAAGTCGACCGAGTGAAGAACATTCCACATCAAACGGAAATATCCAACATCAAATATATTTTTATCTTGTAGAAAACCTATATTTTCTTGCCAAATGCCTGTATAAATATCCTCTGGGATCTTCGAGGCTGCTTCTTTTCCCGACACAAAACTTTCATCATTTTGGTTGTTGTCACAACGTTCGTAGAAAAGCATATATGCACTGTAAGGTTTCGCGAAAGAACGAGTGACATTCTTTTGTGTGTTTGGATCATAGTTTGTCATGGTTTCAGAACCACCATAGCAACATTTTGGGATATCTTTGGGGTTAAAACCTTCGACATTCGAATCATTAAATTGATACCATTTTTGTTCACCTGAGCCGTCAAGATGCAACGGTTTCCGCTCTTTAATAAACGAATAATAATGCCCAGAATCTGCGGATCCGGTGTGAACAAGAACTCCGACAAGTTGATACTCGAATTGACTTTTATTAGCATCATCAGCGTTCAGTTCTTCAAGTTGGCCTGATTCTTTTTTCATTAGATAATCCAAGGTGTATGGTTCCATATTTATACGATCCGGAAATTCAAATTGTTCATTAATTTTTACGCGTTTGAACGTTTCCATGTCAAAATCAAATCTTTTTAGATGTAGTATAAGATTGTTGGGTAATGTCTTTATACAAGCCCTATGAAAACGGAAGAAATTGGTCAACTTCAAGATATAATTCTAGTGATAATTCACCGAGATAAATAAAAGAAATTTGCTGTAATAACCTTTTTATCGCATCCACTTTTCGATCACACATCTCGCAGTAATATTTGTTATCTATGAAAATAAAGGTAAACTTAGCATACATATTAATATAAAATTGCATAATAAATATATACCTCCGTCCATGATTTCGCCTTCTACGTAAAGTTGCAAGCTTTCTTCTACATTTTTCTTATTTTTGACCTCGCATTGAATAGCAAAGATTGGATCCTCGCGCTCCGAGACATGCTCACATTCACGCGACTTGATTTGCTGAACAAGCGTTCCACCAAAATGATTTTTAAATAACATTTCTTGCGAAGTACCAGACACACTATTCTCCAATCGATCAAACAACCCATTAAAATATTCATCCACATCCATCTGTACAGCAACATTCATCGGCCCACCATCGTAGTCTTTATAGGCTTGACAGAATGGAGTCGCTTCGTATGCTTTCTTTTGACTTTCTTGTAAATGCCCAAAGACAACTTGCAACTGATAAAGCAAACTCTCGTCTTTATTTTCATCTCGGACAGGTGCTGAGAAAATACCATTGCGAAACGAAGGGTTCATAAAAAATTGTTGGACAATGGAATTGACGTAGCACGTTGCACCGAGATTTTGTAATCCGACGTAGCCGGAATTTGCTTTGGTGCAAACTTGCGGGCAGTAATTCCAATTGTCGTTTAATTGATCACCACGATTGAGTTGGTGTAATAATAGGTTCGTTAGATGGATGAAATTTTCTTGGCAGTCCTTTACAAGCTCAAGCAGTAATTCCATTGCTGCGGTTCGTGATTCAACAAATTTGCATTTGGGTGGCACGTATGTGCAGCCTGAATATTCCATCGTTGGAATTTCGAAAAGGCAATCATTAAAGATCATGTCTATCAATCTATTCGAATAAAAATAGAAATAAATAAATATCATAAAGAAATTAACATCCCCGATTCAAGTAAACAAATACCCCTCATTAAACTGAGTCGTGGATTTGAATTTGGGATATTTTGCCAAGAGTACGGTCAATGTTTTCATAAGACCGATGATCAAAGTATCATCAAAGCTACTATGAGATTCCTAATAAAGGATAGAAGCATGTAAATTTAAAAAGATTATATTTTGAAAATTCCGTTATTATTTATATTCACCTCACTATGATAGGTTACTTCTTTAATAGGATGATTCTTAATATGTTGAATCATTAGAACAAACAATTTGGTAACGTCGAAATTAATCGGAGGTATCATTGACTTTAGTAAACTTCCCAGGAGGTCGAAATATTCTTTGCATGTGAAAACGTGTTGTTCAAGTTCAGGTAATATAGAAACAAGTAGTTGTAAAAAAAACTCGAGGGAACGGGAATGCGGAGATGATGATAACGTTGTTTCTTGAAGCCCAAGCTCAATATCTTCGGGTATACAAAACTTGTCAATCAGATTTGCAATCTCTTTTCTTGCTTCTTCCGACTGGCATTGAACTAGTCCCATGAGGAGCCAGTTACTCAAGCCTGGATAAGCGAAAAGACTTTGAAGGGCTGATTCGTCTCTCATGCATAGACAATACAGCAACTTATTTGCATATTTGATGATGATGAGGTCTTCTTCGACTATTAGGAAAAAAACATATTTAGAAAAAACATCTGTAATTAAGAGAGAACGGGATAATAAATACCTTGTTTTAAAGAAGGATCGATGCATTTTCCGACTATTTCAAGCAATCTAGCAATTAGATCACTTTTGTCAATTCTCATGAAGAATTGACCATCCATAGTCGAATTGTCTACAATAGATCATGTTTATTAATTATTAGTCCATACAACTAATGACTTTAACCAAAGGGAAATTCAGATGTATACAAACCGTTACTAATGAAATAATCGATGACTTTAAGCAAAAGACCTAGGCAAGCTCTTTTTATTACGCTTTTTTGGTGCTCGATCAAAGCATTTTCTGGATCATTAGAAGTTTGTTCTCGCTTAATAAGAATTGCAAGTAAATGATCGTGCCCTCCATTTTCCATGAATCTTCGGCTCCACTCAAAAGCACTCAATTGTTCATCCCCGCCTCTCAACAGCCAATCGACAATTTGTAAGGCATAAAGCAAACGGAATGGAGATTGGCTATCTAGCAAAGTGTTCCATTCAACAGGCGCCTCCAAAGCTTTAAGACTATTCAGAATTCTAGTATTGGTTGGAAGTCGCATAAGCAAATCCCAAATCTAACGTAATTAAGGGTTAAGGTTGATCATATTGATAGAAACATTGCGATCGAAGTGTCTAATGAATTCAAACTGTCAAACCTGAGATGCGTATTTTTCTTCGAGTTGCAACATCACAAAAAATTGATCAACGTATTTTGATAAGATATTGACAGGCATATCAGCTTCATTGATCTATAAGTGGATATTGTAGTTCTTATTTATATTTAAACAAAAAAAACAAGAATATTAATTGAATAGATATTAAGTTATTTACCTCCTCATTTGTTTTGAGCTCAGGTTTTTCTGTTTCTTGAGAGTCCTTTACTTCATTCACTCTACTTACACACATAAATGCAGTACCATCGTTTATTTTCAGTTCTTGGAAAGTTGAACAATTGCAGTCCTGAGGATATTCTTTTCCGCCTGTAAACAATCGGATTACCCCCGGTTGGGGAAGTTTAATCTTCGCAGCAATTTTATGACGCAAAGCTAAAATGGTCTCTGATGTGTGCATCGGAAATTCCATTTCCGATGCTTCCTATTAAAAATAAATATCAAGATTTAAATTAAATGAAAATAACAAATAATTCACATTTTTCTGTTCATACTTACAGATCCTTGAGGAAGTTTGACTTTGATATTGATCATTTTTCCATCATTTAACATTCCATGTCGTCTTACAAGCATTTGGCCCGATTTAGTGGACATGTACTTTGTGTCAAAATAATCCATAAAATATTTCAACATTTCGAGGCATCGCTTGAACATCAAGGCATCTCGTGTTTTACAATTCGTGAAGTTGTAATTCTCAGGATCATGATCATTGTTAGGTTGATCCAAGTTTTCAATTAATAAATTGCCAACTGACGGAGAAAATGACAAAGACGAAGAGAGACCATTGGCAGCAGCAAATAAATTATCGACACATTTATCTACCAACGTCTCACGATGTTTCCGTGCTAGTGTAATGCTATCTGGTAAATTAGGATCCGTCTATCAAAGAAATACTTTTTGGTGAAATGGTTGCTCTTTGACAAGCAAACCCTCACTTGAAGAAAAAACAGACACATACATTCATGTATAAATGAACTAAGAAAGCGATGGCTTCTTTTCCAACCGCTTCCGTTTCTGCACACAGCGCAATGTTCCAAATCAGTTGAGTACCAATCAAATCACCTTGTAAAAATATGTGGTAAGATTGGGAAGAAGGATTCTAAAAAAATACACGTAAAATTTCATGTAAATTGTTTCAAGAGATAAGCAATTAATTTCACGAATTTATATATTTCTTGTATTATTACCATTCGCAATCGCTCATTTTTGTTATTAACCTTGAGTAGACAATTTTTCGCATATTTTAATGCCTGTTCAGAAAAGTATCTTACATCTAATTGAGGCAAGCGATTATGAAAGAAATGGTTGATAAAATGATCATATTCCTCAATGGTTTCCAAACACTGAAAAGCATCATCTCGCTCTGATATTCCAATTGGCTCAGCGATTAAACAATCCCATACAATATCCGTTTGTTCAGTCGAAGTGAAAAATGGAACTGTCTCCGAATTTCCCATCCATTGAAGAAATTGTAATCTTCCGAGTAATTGGTCTTTTAGAATAGCTGCTCGAGTTGGCGAAAGGCCAACAAGTGGCGAAGAGGAGCCAGGTGGTGACATACGATCTAGAAATAAAACCAAAAAATGAATGGTATATAATAGATACTTTCAATGTATTCTATTACAATATATACCAATATCCATACTGATAGAACTGTTTCTTCTATCATGTAGCGATTTTACAGTGTTTCTCCAATAAATCAAGTCTTCTAAAAATAGGTTGGGTAAGCCAGTTTGAAAGATTAAATGGCGTAAATAATCCGTGGCGGTGCAAGTCGTATCTGGAAATGGTAGTGCTTTATTATTACATATTTGAAGCGCATGTCAAAATTAATAAAAATCCACAAAAAAATAAATCCTTACTTATAATTCGCATGATTACACGAAGCGCCCATACTGTTGCGGGATGATGTGATTTCAAATCTTCAATACATTTTTCCAAAAATTCCTCTCGTTTTTCTTCATGCGGTCCATATTGTAGTATATTGTTCAATAATTGATTTACACCTTGAATAATATCTTGATCAATTAAAGATGAAGCTGAGGCGGTAGACGCGACAGTTGGTGTAGTAGCTTCTGCATTCATAAGTGACGACAACGGCACCGAAGAATCGCGCAAAATACGCCATAATAAAAGATGTGCCTCATAAAATACTTGATTTACCTATAAACGATATATTCGGTATGGTTGTTAATAAAGCAACATGATTTTTCATGAATCAATTAATTTCTACCTACCTTTGAGTCTCTTGCATTCATCGTAGAATGCGCAATTTCCACCATAGAAAGCATTAATTGCCTAATTAAGAGATATGTTTGCGTGTCGTACAGACTCATTGGCAATACTTTTAGTTTTCTGAATAGGTTTTCTCGGTGTTCTAAAGTAAGACGATCGGATATCTCGTTTAGAACTTGAAAGACACCATGAACGATACTTTGATGTTGATTTCCTGCAACAGGCATCCATATTTTATCCAAATCTGTTGAATGCAATGCTCCAGCATCTATGAGAAAAATTAGAACATCGGTTGAACGTTGAACTATTTCCAAATGTATATTTGGACCAAATATGTATTCTAATATTTCCTTCTCACGAAGTCCGTTAACAAGCGATCTGTAAAGAATTCAATACAATTTAATTTAATCTTTTTGGATAAAGGAATTGACTGTTGCAAAAGAATGTTTAAAAAAATACCGAATAATTCTGTCCGAAGGACTTTCATTAAAGCTTCTCTTTCTAGCGGAGCTCTTTCGTTTAGTGCGTCTTATTTGCCTTGCTTGTTTCAAACCAAACATCAAAAGGTCTTTAATCTCACTTAAACCGGTCAATCGCAAATCAAGACGTGGAGCCCTCAATAATCTGCTTGCAACATCAAGTCTCAGGAAACAGCAAGTTAAGATCTGTTGTTCGTCAGGAAGTTCTTGACAAAGCATAACTTCCGGATCTTCCTCGTCTTCGTCATCATCATCCGAAGAAAGCATTGCGTGATAATTGGTTTCATCTCTTACCACTGATTGCACATGTGAATTTGACGGAGCCATGAATATTATGTGATGCACCATATGTATTATGTTGATGAAAAGCTTTTTGTCCTGACGATATAACGTTTCGTCGGAAATTTCTTTAATTTGTTTTTGGACTCGCGTGGCGATTTCAAATGCATATCCGCGAAAATCCATATGACCCAAATTATTACTATGCACAAAATAGTGAGTGAGCTGATTTTGAGTTCATATGAAGTTAGTATAGAGAAAAAACATTTTATTAATTCTTTTCTACCAAATACATAATTGCTTTTCTGAAGTTTACCTTATGAATTATTTTGACCAATCCATAAATATCTTTTAAATCGATACTGAAACTGTAGTGCTCTGTTCCTTCTCGATTATTAATATTCCCATTTCCAAGAGCTCGCAAAATGGCGTGCATTCCTCCTTTTGTAATAAAGTGTTTAATGCTGTTGATTTGATACTGCGACATACGGGAATCTAACTATAGATCATGAATAAAAAAAGCAAACAAGTAAATCTAATTTTCTCTTCTGTCATACTAATTAACTAACGAAAATCCACCTGTTCTATTCCAGCCATTTCATTATTATTATCTTCAAAATCATATATCTGCCGAAGAAAATATTTCCGTGAATATATACATTAATATTTTTTGGAACAAATAAATACATGATAAAAGGCGCAATTGTTTACCCCACTAGGACCAACTTCCGGTCTTCCAGCACTATCATTTCGACCATCAAAGCGTCGATAAAATGCTGCATTATCTTCCCCAATAATACGATAAACTACTTCTGACAAATGTTCCGATATTGGAAAGTCATCATATTTTACGCCCAGCACTTCCGGATCTTTTAAAAGAAGGATCGCGATTTCCAATAGATTATTGAAAAATTCATGAATAGCAGTGGCAAGATAGGTTAAATCGGGATAACTAATTTAATTCATTATTTACATAATAAGTTGATAGGATTAATATTAAACCAAAAAAAAAATTGTACGAAATTTTTCTTTTTTTCATTGTATTAAAAATGTTCAAACCTTCTAGAAAGAAGAACATTAGCATATTTTGGTAACCATTCTCTTTGTATCATGAAAAGGAATCCAGGATTTGAGTTAAAGTCATCAGGAGAATTTATAATAGCAATTGTAGATTCGACCAGCTTTTCGACAGACTTAATCGGATTTTGAGCTATAAATATTATTTTTATCAAATAAAAAAATCAGAAATTTTCGTGAAATAAAAAACGGCACACGAAAATTTGATACACAAATGCTAAGAAATAAAATCGTACATTCTTTTAAGTCCCTCAGAAATTCTTCCAAGCTTGAAATAGATTGATTCTGTTTCGAAACACGTCGCCTAGCACTTGAAGACAATGATTGTGAATGTCTTCTTCGCGAACCAGGCTCGTTATCATCATCATCCGCCTCATCTACTATACACTCTTCTTCATCCTCTGATGAACATTGTCGTTTGTCATATCGATGACCAGCTCCACGATGGGAATTATGTTGTTGTGGCTGAGTGGCTAAAGCAATACGTTTTTTTGGATGAAGTTCATTATCTCGACGAGGAACTTGCGTAATTTGCTTTGTAATTAAAGCTTCATCTTCTTGATCAAGTTCCTCTTCCTCTTCTTCATCCTCCTCTTCCTCCTCTTCCT